GAAGGAAATGGAGAAGACCTGACGAGGAAGGAGACAGACGGAGCAGTAAATTGTCAGTCCGTCTGACCGTTGTCGGTAGTCAAGCAAATCTGGAGCCAGACATACATAATAACAAGGTATAGTCAACTGAGCTAACTAAATAATCTCAGAAGCTCAGGTCCAGGTCGAGCTAACCGCACTTACTGTACTGACTGTACATGAGTACTCCGTAGTTCTACGCATTTGACCAGGCGGCCCCCCCCCCCCCGGAACCGCCCACCGCACGGCCGGGAACTCCACCGCCCTTAACCAGCAGCATCTGGACGCTCGTCGATCTCCAGCTAGACTTTCCACACCCCCAATTCAACGGGAGAGAGAGAAGAACGCTGGGAAAGAGAAAAAGAAGTCTGGAACAAGTATACTGTAAATCCCCACGAGAGTCTTTTCTCCGATTTACTTGCCACGAGGTCTCGTTCCATGACTTCTGAGAACCTTCGTTCCCTCCCCCACCTGGGCCCAGGTGAACTGGCCCTGTTAAATCTTGCGACCGATGATCCACGCGATACGGTATTGTTGTCAGACAAGGAGGCTTTGATCCTGCAGCTCTATCACCAGATCCAGGAACAGCAACTAGAGAAGGCACTACTACAGCAAGGTATGTATGTACGCATGAATCGACCCATTCTCTCCTTTCTTCTATTTTCTTTCCTTAGTATAGGTGCTATTCTTGTCCGATTGCTATTCGTTCTTATTGATGTTTCAACAGACACAGAATTGCTCTCGGGTGACAATGCGGAAGAAGAACTAGCTAAAGCAGAACGGGAGCTGCTGGAGGCGAGAGCCACCTACACGGTCAGGAGGAAGGCTGTGGGAACCGTCCTTATGACTGATCCTGCCCTAAAAGCTGTTCATCTGAAGGCCACCACTCCAGCTGAAAGGTATGTTTCTTCCTTCGATATGGCCTTCTGTGCTTCACCCGCCCTCCACTTCATGCGTTGCCGTTCCCTGTCTCCGCTAATAAACAATAGGGCCCTTCATCGGCTGATCAACCGTCGCGATGTGCTGTCCACAGTCCATGAGAATTTGAATGCCATCCATACGGCGTCTCTCCAAAGGCTTACTGGGTTGGAGGTAGAGAATTTACAGCTCCACCAGAAGAATCAAGAACTGGTCCGCGAGTTACTGTCCCTCACAGAGGATGATGACTCCTGGAGAGAGGATCTTGATGATCCGGAGCTCAAATCACAGCTAGAGCAATTGGAGGCAGATCACCGCAGAAGCAAAGCGAGATGGGAGGTCATGAAAAGCATCGCCAGCGCTATAGTTGTTGGGAGCGAAGTGAACTGGGCTGAAGACGAAACGCTCACCGCCCTGGTTCTAGATGAGTCTGACGATTAATGTACTGTAACTACGAAGAAGAGTAGAGTGGTTTTTCTAGCGTTTACTCGGGCCAGGCGTTATGGGTGAAAGGATTATACCCTTGATGGATGATGGATCGGCATTCGAGCATTGCCAGATGACGAATTAATCGGGGATCCATGGCTCACATATGACTTCTTGATCGATCAAAATGATACACAAGTATGACTGAGCAATTCAGTCCGCTTCGCACCAAAGCAATCGATTAGTAAGGAATAGCAAGAAGATCTTAGAGAAGTCTGACGAAGTTGCAATGCTCGACCTAATTATTGGGGCTGAGGGAAAAAAGGCGTGAAGAATCAACTGAGTGGTGTGACCCACGTGACATCATGGCCCACCGGCCGAAGGCAAAGAAGCTACTAAGCCTTCGTCATACGATGGGCTAGCTAGCCAATGCTTTGTGGTGGGTGGCAGCAGCAGCAACTTGAGGCTTGAATATGGATGGGTAAGCAAACGGTGACCCCAAGCCGATAAAGTGAGGGAACCCTTGCAGGAGTCAAGAAACAAAGGACAAAAGGAAACTGACAGCTGGGTTGGCGGTAAGTAAGCAATCACTCCTGCAGGTAAAGAAAAATGCCGCCAAAAACTGGCCAGCCTAAGTTTTGCATGTGAGCTGAGGAGATTTGCTTAGAAGGGGGGGGGAGAGAAAGAGAGAGAAAAGATCTGAGCAAACCAGAAGAGAGAGCCCGGCGTTTCCACACCTAGAACGGTAGAACCAAGCAACGGAGTCAATGACCCCTCACTATGGATTGAGAATTACTGAGAGGGCAGGGCGCAGCCACCCCGTTTACAATACATACATTCAGGTATTGTTAGACGTTGCTGGGAAGGTTGTACATAGTACGCGGATCCAGTATTTTGCCGATACTGTAAATTTTCGATGGACGTCGTTTGCAGTGCGGAATGTGGTGGCATTTACACAGGTACTGTACAGGACGTCGCTGGAAGGTCTTTCTCACTATGCAACTCGTTGATATTTGTTTTTCTGGGCAGCGACGACACCCGCCAATATGACCACAGGCTATTAGTGAACAAGTTTGGGGATTTTTTGCCATATCACCGGGAAAGTCGCACAATTTAGGACCTAGAACCATTACAAGGAAGAGAAAGAGGATACAGTCGTATCTTCTACTGTGCACTCAGACCTCCGCCTATTCCAAGCTTGCTAATGCGAGAAAGGTGTCTGAAGCACCAACCTAGATTGCAAAGGAGATTCCCTAACTATACAGAAATCCATACAGGACTTTACCAATCTGAGTAGGGTGTAACTAACTGACCTGACTGAGTAGGAGCAGCAGCAGCAGCAGCAGCACTGCTCTCGAAAACCGGGCACAGAGCAATAGATGATCACCCAGTATGAGTGGTTTGTGACTGGTACAATAGCCAACTGAAGGAAAGTTAGCACTATTACTGGCAATAGGAGGTTCCAATCAATAATACTTACATATTATATTTACATGTGTACTCCGTAGTGACTCCTCCCTGGAATCGGCAGAATGATTATTGTGATTAATCTAGTTAACAATAGTGCTCCTGTTATCACCACTACATCACAGTTACAGTACCCATTCCACCGTTCATTGGAAGAAGCGGCCTACCCTCGAACAGGAACACTTCTTAGTGCCACTAGACTCTGTTACCACCTCCAGCACAGCAATGGGCCTGCCATCCTTCTCAACACAGTCAGAGGCATACCCATCGGCCTATAAAAGGTCAACTGTGCAAGAGGCGCTGTAGGGTATCCACATCATACGACTTCTTTAGAGCGCTTAGTCCATGTAGAGTAGATACATCAAGCATCAGATTGCCTTTGGGGCAGTATGTTCTGGGGATGATTAGCACAATAATAATGATACTAGTAATTACCAGGGGTGGCACAAGTTGAGTCGACAAAGTCTTTACTATCGATAGTGCGACTGGATTGAGCGCGGGAGAAGGGTGAGAGCTGCGCGCATAGAGCATCTTCGTCTAGTACTCTGCAGGGCTAGATCTTACTTACCCTGAGGGAAGCAGGCACAGGATTTATGGCAGGATAACGCGGAGAATTATCGACGCGGATGTGATCTCTTGATTGAGATCGCGCCAGCTCGGCCGTGGTTCCAGTACAGTACAAAAGACAGCCCAGGTCATGTCTTTGTGCAGTCGTCGGCCACAAACAGACCGAAATGGCTCAATAATACAGCTGCCTATGTATATGTGCATATCCTTTGAAAGAGACGAAGTCCAAGATGTTTCAAAAATACCAGCTATTCAGAGACGCGCCCTTCGCAGATCCTCCCAAGAATAGATGACTTTAATGGCGCGGCATTTGGGGGCAGTCGCGCGGTGTGGAAGTACGACTGAGCGCTGCCAGATTCGAAGCAGTTGTTCCCTGAGCGCCTGCCCCGGATGTATGGAGGTCGATACTCACTGTACTGCCCCGGTAGCTTTCAGTTTTCAGTCTGGTATAGTAACTTATCCGTTACTATTGGAGTGGTATCGGATACACCATGGAGCAACTTCTCTTTCCACCGTGTTACAACTATGTATTTTACCCAAGGTCAATTACCCACCTCATAGTGGCGCACAATGGGGTATGAGCAGTGTACGGTAATAAACCATACTGGGGGTAACAGTGGAGCTGCATCAGGTGCAATGCTCAGCACCCACCTTTTTTTCTTCAGTCGGCAAGTGAAGCATGGATTGGACCATGGGAGTGGAAGTCAATTAGATTTGCTGAAAGGAGCACTGCAACCCTGTAGGATAGACCACTCAAGTTGCCCATCCAAAGCAAGCGTGGAAGGTCAGCCAGAATGTCGCAGCGGAGAATCGCAGGAGGGGAAGGAGGAGAAAATGACAAGACATGACGGGTATGAAACCATACGGACCATTCTCCAGCAACCAGCCAGCCAGTCGCAGCCGGCAGCGAGCGGTTGTTTCCCTTGCTGTGCTGCCCACTTCCCCCCCTTCCCAAGAGTGTGAGGGTGAGGTAGGAAGAGTAGGTAGGTAGTGGCCCGCCCGCCTTCCCGTCTCTCTCTCTCTCTTCTCCTACTACTACTACTCTCCCCTCTCCCTTCCTCTCTCTCACACTCACTCCCTCACTCACCACTCACTCACTCACTCTACTGCTCTCCTCCCATACAATTCTCTCTCCCCATACAAAAAAGTACTGCATATAACCGCACCGGTAGGTCCCATATCAACATTCCGCCTTTCAAGCACCGTTTCTTCAACACCACCACAAATTGGTTTTCTCCTTCGATCCCGTTTTCTTCCATTCTGATCGCTTTTTCAAATCATCATTTCCCTTGGTTTTCCCTCCGGAGTTGCGCGATCTCGCTGTCGCGCCCTCTGCAACAGCACTCTTATAGTTCCTGGCAGCCCTCATACGAACCCAAGCTCTTTCGTTTCCCCCACAGTCTTTTCTTGCCAATTCTGTTTCCTTGTCGTTCGCCGTCTACCTGACTTGATTGTCAGGTAAGTCGCTGTTCTGCGCGACTTGCCCTCTTGGTGTCGTTTGGCTTGCGACCGCGATCGTTCTTGTTTGGGCGCGCGCAAGCCACGGGTTGACGCAACGCTTCCCTCCACCCTCTGGCTACGCGCTCTGCAACTCCCCTCCTCACCTGCCTGCTTCTCTCTTGCTGCCATTTTGTTCGCAAAAAGCAATCTCTCTGCCGCCTATCTGCCGCCTATCTGCCGCCCTTACGAGCCTTTCATCTGTCTCATTCAACAATCCCCAACTTTTAAACTAATCGTCACGCCTGCAGACCTCAATTCAAAATGCCCAAGGAGAAGGTTACCCGCAAGACCAAGCGTGTTGAGCGCAAGAAGAAGGGTAAGTATCCTTGTCTCCATCGACAATGCTGTGACTGACTTGTTGCTCTAGACCCCAACGCTCCCAAGCGTGGTCTCTCCGCCTACATGTTCTTCGCCAACGACAACCGCGAGAAGGTCCGCGAGGAGAACCCCGGTATCTCCTTCGGTACGTACTGCTTGCAATGTCAGCGATGGCATGGACCCTGCCGCTAACAGTCCTTTAGGTCAGGTTGGTAAGATGCTCGGAGAGCGGTGGAAGGCCCTGAGCGATTCGGAGCGCCGCCCCTACGAGGAGAAGGCCGCTACCGATAAGAAGCGTTACGAAGACGAGAAGGCCAGCTATAACGTAAGTTGTCTTGAACTCTGTATGCTCTTGATGATATTAACAGTATTGGTGTAGGCTGCCGCCGAAGAGGATGAGGAGTCCTCTTAAAGCTCCCCAATCTCCTAGGTCTTGTTGCTTGGACCCAATGGCGTTTGTGTCTTTTCTCGTGTGACGTGTATTTGTGGCTTTCTATATTCTATTATCTATTCAACGGCTTCTGGTACGGATGACGGTGGTTCTTTCCTCTCCTTGCTTTTCTGTTCATGAAGGATATCAATGGGAAATGTTTACTGTACGGACTGGCGGCTTTCGGACACATTTGGCTTGAATTGAGGAGTCCCGGCGCTGAGTCTCAGAGCTGTAAGGAAACCTGATTTGAGCGTCTATGATGAAATATCGAAATGAAGCTGCAGAAAGTGTGAGGCCAGCAAAGACTGCTGTATAATAGCTTAATCAACCGCATCCTCACCTAAGCGACTCTGGACCCCGGGCCTTTTTTCTTTTATTTTTTTTTCCGATCCGTGTTGATGATTGATTGAACTCCTGTGTGGGTATGTAAGAATATGAAGTCAGATCCGGTACGCAGAGTGCTTCCATGGGGGAGAGATCTGGTATTTCTGGAAGGACTTTCCTTGCAGGAGTTGGCCCAAGCTCCCGGCGGTGACGCGGGGCGGACAGCTTGTTTACGTGTTCGACGCGTCCAGTTCTCCGATATCCCCGAGGAGCTTGAAGCCTTGAAGCCTTGGAGCCTTGGAGCCTGAATTTGCTTCATGCCTCAGGCCAGTAAAAACAACGGCGTGTGTCAGGTGGGTGTTGTGAACAAGTCATTTCGATCATAAAGTGCCAGGTAACTTATGGTTTACAGTCAAGTATATTTATACTTGGTGGATGCTTGGCTAGGAGTATAGTCATGTATATCTGCCCAAAGCTACGACAAATCAGGCCGAGCATATATATGCGTGACACGGGCGTTTGTCAGAGATAACTTCAAGTTCAATCTAGTTTTGTACAGTACATACTTCGCTAAATACAGCCACACTTGCAACCACTTATTCTGCTTGAAGTATAATTGTCGCTTTCTTGGTTTAACTGGGCTGCTGATTTTGTCGCATGAAACATAGCCAACGGAATCATCATTCTCCGTACATTCATAGCTACTATGCAGGAAGTAGCTATGGACAGTCACGCCTGTCAATGCAAGTGACATCGGGCAGTTATCTTGGATGTGCTCTCCGATATTGATATTTAGTATGATGCAGTGCGATGAAGCCGTTGGCCCCAAACTTTAACGACGATTAGATTTCGAGTCTTCTTCCTTCCTCGAGAATCCCGTGACTGCCAGGGTTCTCGGGGTCTCTCTCAGCTTCTCTAGTAAGGTTTCTGTTTCCCCTCATCTGCAAGTCAGACAGACAGACAGACACTAATGACTACCATGGTTAATTGAGTTGCTCCAACGATTTTCCCTTGTTCACAAAGTACTCTGTACTATGTCAGTCATGGCCAATATGACATACAGACCTACAGAGCAGAATCCTCTGCACTAGTTGCTGCAAAGGGTATGAAGGCACTCCTTGTCATCTTTTGCATCGAGGACTCCTACCGCCTGTGCTCGTATCACCACATACCCCCCCACCAGGATGAAGTCACACCATGGCCTTCTCCTCGTCTTTCTCCTCCATTTTTCCCCTCCACCATCGCTCCATCCCGCCATGCATTTCCACCGCCCGTCATTGGCTTTTGCCCGTCGCCGCCGCATGAACACGTCAATGGTGCCCCCCCCCCCTCGAGGTCGGAGGCACGTTGCAGTCGTTAGACAAGACAGACAATCAATTTGTCGGTCTGTCGGCCTGTCGGTCTCAGGCTTCTCTTTCTTCTTCTGACCTTCTGGCCTCTGGCTTCTGGCTCCAGTGCCGGTCTGTCCGTCCGACAGAGAGCCGCAAACTAACTACCCAGTCACTATGGGCTGCTGCCATTCCGTCCGGCAACAAACTAGACTGAACTTAGCCCCACCCGCGGGTGTTTCTTGTTCTGCATTCCTTCCTTTGTGCGGGTGATCGAGATCAGAACCCTGACTGACTCGAACTCGACCCTCGCTCTCCTTCCTGTGTGTTTGCGCGCTGGTGCTGGTGCTGGTGCCCTCTGCGTGTGGTGCGAGTTGCACCTTTGCCTGGTCAATCCTTGGGCGAGACTCCAATCCATTCATCCTGTTCCAATCTATCTGTTTGGTGAGACTCCAACCGACATGCATCCCAGGGACGATCCCACCGATAAGAGATTCTCTTTCTGACTCCAGCATTGCAGTCTACTGAGTTGTCTCCCCCTGCCCCTCTCTCCTGGTATACCTACTACCCTACCACGTAATTCTCCCTGGACCCGTTGATCTCCCTTTCCGGGATCTCCATAAAAATCGTCAAGCAGCTATAGTGAGCCGCGTGTGTCTGTCTGGTGGGAGTCTATTTCTTCCTTGCCTCTCGACCTCAACCATACAACGAGAGATCCCCATCAGCATACATGCATGGCCTACCATAAGTGACCATCACTATGGCTCTGCGTACATCTGCCGACAATGCCGAGGACGTGGCCGCTGGCTTTCGTCTTTTCCGCGACCCTCTGCCGGAGCATTCAACAGAGATCACCAGCTTGATCGCCGATCTTTATGCAATTAGCACCTCCCTCAAGAATCTCGAAGACTTGACTCGCAATCGGAACTACCGGCGCAACCTGCACGCCGTCCAGCCCGACCTAGAACTGGTTCGGGCAAGTTTGAAGTACACGCTCGAAGATGTTGTCGACTTCTTTGGAGACCTGGAGGCGCGGAGAGGCTCCAGCCGTGAGGTCTACAAACGGACATGGGTTGACCTCTGTACTTTCTTCCGGGAGGAGTCTCAAGACTCACTGTCTACCCGTTTAGCCAAGTATAAGGCCTTTCTGTCTGATTTGGAGGCTCTAATGAAGGGGTTCGTTCTCCACGTGGCTCTCTCTGGAAACGCAGGTCAATTGACACATGCTTCTGTAATCATGTAGTAATGCACCCGATGATCGACTGATGTCCGCCCTGCGACGCAATCTCAAAGGTTTGTTGGTGCAGCAGGAATCTCAGGTTGCGTCACACCTGGGCTCCCTGTCTCTGAGTTCCCCGTCGTCCAGCAGCAGCAGTAGCAGCAGCAACACCAGTGGCGAACCTGGCAGTCCGGTCAGTGATCGCAGACCCCGCACCCGACGATCATATGAGCGAGCTCGTCCGTCTCACCTGGGGCCCCAGTCGCCCACCTCCGCTTCATCTGGCACATTCTCGGATATCCCTCCCTCGGCCCCAGACGCACCGGGCTCGCCGTCTACTACGACTGCCACTAGTCAATCGACCGATTCCAGCGTACTTGGCGAGCATTGGGCACGACGGGTGTTCTTAGATGATCACACGCAAACGCCTATCCCCTATGTTGGCGAAAGGTGAGACAGTGGGCTTTAGTCATGCAGACATCCGCTGACAAGCTGCAGCTCCAAGTGTCTGGGCGAACCCAAGTCCAACCCGAAAGCATGGCTTGACGGCGAGGGATTCGAGGAGCTTTTACAGTTGTGAGTTGCACATGCGCCTCATCTCAGTCGATGGATGGACTGACGGACGGTAGAGCATTCAACAGCGAGACGGATCTCAGGGTATGCTTCTATTTACGAGATGAAGACCATCGCGCACGCATTGTGTGCAAAGCCCGCCGTTCTGCGCGGTCGAACGAGTATTTCATCCTGCCATTGAATATGCTGGAGATCGTCCGTGTCGGATCCTGTCTACAGTTGTGCCGGCGCCGTCGTGGAGGCAGCGAACTGGTTCTGTGGGCCAACCTCAAATTCAGCACCATTGAGCGTACGTCTGATGTGGCTGTTCTACTGGGTCTTACTGACGCGAGAGCAGAAATGGTGATCTTCTTCTGCACCTTTTTGGCCCTTCGATCGCAAGATTCCGGGCGTCCTGTGACTGTGGAGAGTATTCGCGATTACGAGCTGGCGCAAGAGGAAGAACTCTTCGGAGGGTAGGCCAACCTCTCCCATTGACGGCGACAGGCACTAATCGAGCCAGACAAATTGTGGATGACGATTTCCTCCATGCGTTGCGTGTTTACCGGGACGAGGTTTCCGGCGCTGTACGGCTCCAGGCATCGGTCCATAAAGGGGAATTGAAGCGGTGAGTCTCCACGAGTTTGCCATATGGTCGTCTGGCTGAAGGACCTAGATCCCCCGTCTGGACGGCTTTTATCACAGACCATATCGGGACTCGCGGCTGGATTCGCCGTCCTGAGCCCAAGGTTGTAGTGTTGAAGGAGATACGCAGGAGCATCTTCACGTTCCCGGATTATACACCACCTCAGACAACTCGAGGAGAGCATGTCCTGAAATTCACCCATCGTTCGGGTACGTACCGGCGGATTGTTTCATGTGTAAAAATGCTGACTGTGGTTAGATGCGCAAGGCTTTTATGAGACCATGACCGAGCTCGCGCATGGATGACACATATCTTATCATGGGCAGGACAAAGAGCTAACGCCTGTTGCCAGGAAAATGGATATGATTGATGACTGATGACTGATGACCACTAAGAGTTAATCTGGAGGTTTCCTGATTGTTGTCGGAGAGACCGTGACGGTGGCAGGTGCTATATACTATGCATAAAGCTGGTCTCAGACCAGGCAATGATACCCTTTGATTACTCCGTGGACCTGATTCATTAAGTGTCATGAATAAAAACGATTTTCAATTCCGATGGGTATCTCTAGAGTAACAAACACGCAACGCCAGCACGAACTCTCACTTTCGTGGTAGTCATTCAGTTCATACCACGCCGACGTCGCCCAACCCTGCCAGGAACATCTCCGCGCGCCTCTTGGACCTCAACTCCTCGACCTTGACGCGCCTCTCGTTCCTGGCCTCTTCCCTCCTCGCGCGCCGCTGCTGCTTCTCTTCCCGCTCCCTCTGCGTCTCCTCCCTCGCGACCCGCAGCTCCTCCATCTGCCGCCGCCTCGTCTCCTCATCCCTAGCGAAGGCATAGAACCCGGTCCCGCGGTTCCTGACCTCGGCCTCGGCATCGTAATGCGTCTCCTCCGGCGGGGTCACCGAGCGATCCCGGCGTTTGGCCAGGTACGCCATGTGCGCCGCGATGTTGGCATCCGGGTTAAACGCCTCGCTCTGCACGGTCTCCCCATAGATCAGATTCTCCGGCCGACGCGGCCGCCACCTTTCCCCGGCCTCATGACGGGCTCCATCCCCTTCCCCATCCTCCTGCTGCTGCCTCTTCACTCTCGCCGCCTCCGCCGCCTCCGCCCTAGTCCCGCGCCTCGTCCGCCCCAATTCATCCTCATAGGAGACAATCGACGCATCGTCCCTGCCACCCCCATCCTCACCCTCACCCTCACCCTCCTCGTCGTCATCGTCCCCATCAAGATTTGAGCGCGTATCCGCCCACTTGCGATCAAAATCCACCAACCCCTCCCTCTCCCTCCGCCTCAACGTCCTCAAATACCTCTCCCCTTCCCCTTCCCCTTCCCGATCATCCTGATCCTCAGAATCACTACCACCAAGATACAAACCCCGCTTCAAATCCTCATACACCCGCGCCTTCTCCTGCATCCGCCGCTTCGACCGCAGCAGCACCGCCTCGTCCACTCGACCGCCGAGATCGCGACTTAGCTGGTGTACCTGCGCAGCCGCACCCCCGGAGGAGGTCGTCGCATCGCGGTCGTCCACAAGATCCTGCGCCGCGCGCTTCTGCGCCCCGCGGTTCGGGCGGGCGAAGAGGCCATCCGATGCGTCTTTGTGTTTGGAGGGGCGGGGGCGGCCGGTCGTCGTCGTCGTCGTCGTTGTCGTCGATGTGGATCCCGAGTCTCGGGCGGCGATGAGGTTGGATAAGGTGGTGGTGAAGGCGAGCGTTGAGGAGGAGGGGGCGGCGTTCTGGGCGGTCGAGGACTTTTTGCGCGGCGGGTGGCCGTACAGGTTTGGGTTGGACATTTCCTCTTCCTTTTTATTGCTGGCGTAGGTTATCGTGGTGGTGGTTTGTTGTTATCTTAGATCAAAAGAAAAAAAAAAGAGGTAGGGAAGGGTGACTCGGAATCGAATGTGAGGTTCGCAGTGTGGATAGGGATAGTATCCGATAAGACACATGCTCGCAGAGGTGCTTGGATGTCGGAGCATGCGCTAATCCCAACTGGGGGAAGATTTGCTGCCACCGCCAAAACCGGCTAGGTACCTTTCGGGGCCTGTTCGTGGCCAAAAATATGGATTGCAACGGCAGGTCGCGGGCGTTCTGCCGTCTCAGGCGGTGTGGTAAGACAAATATCTATTGGTTGGTATGGTACCGCCTTGCTGACCGCTTTGCGCGGCAGAACGCTCGCGACCTCGCAAGGCGCAGCAGCGATTTCAGTGGTGAACAGGCCCGGGAAAAAAGTGGGGCAGAGTGGTAGGTTTGGGCGGGGGCAGAAAACGGTCCCAGGTTGCCTCGGTCTACTGTACCTACCCTCGTTGATAAGATGGACGCTACTTAGGCTCTACACTCCACTTTTTGTGTATACTAATGTTGCAGAAGGAGATTCAAGAGGGAACATATCTGCTTATCGAAGCGACGATGGCTCCATGTTTTATAATTTCCAAGAAGTCTATCTCGAGATCGAGCATCAAGATTGTATGTCATCCCCGTAGATATGCCTTTACTGCATCCCCCCAAACTGCCCCCCTCTTATACCACCACATCTCCGGCACACTGCCCCTTTTCAACCCATCGATCGCCTGCGCCAGTTCCTCGCCGAGTCCTTCCTCCTTGACCGTTCGAATTGGGTACGTATACGTATGAAAAGTGAACACCAGCGCCTTGGTCCTGGGTAGACGATGTAGCGTCTGGCGCTCACAGCGCAGGAAGGTCTACAACCGAGGTCAGCAGCACATCTCATGCCCGGATAACACAGCGCAGCAGTAAGACAGCGAGAGCTAACAGTGAGTAAAAAGGGATGGATCGAAACAGGACATACATCATCAACATTCAACGCATCCAACCCCATCACCCCGTCATCCTTCCCGCTCTTTTCCTCCCCACCACCAGCAGTATCGCCATGAATGCCCCCGAACGCAGCGAATAACTCCGTCCCCGTCGTCACACTCCAGTTCACCCGCTGCACGAACCGCCCGACCTCCAACTTGGCAAAAAACCGGTCCATGCTCTTCTCCAGCTTCTCCTTGTACCGCGGCACAGGATCGTGGATGGCGGAGAGCGTGCGGCCGAGTTTCTCGCGCGTGTCGAATCCCGCCGGGTAGAAGGTCGTATACGCTTGGAGGGTGTATTCGTCTTCTTCCTCCGCCTCTTTCTCTTCGACTGCATCCTCACCACGGGGTGGACCCACCCGTGAGGTGGGCAGTAAGATCAGGAAGTCCTCGTCCACGACCGTTCCCAGCGTGGTAAGGGCTTCGCGGGCCGAGATGGGGCATCTGGTCGGGATGGAACGATTGGTGATTCTGTTGAGGAGGTATTTCGGTTTCCTCTCCTTCGTCGCCGTCGTATCCCCAGCTAGGCCTTCCCCCGCCTTTTCGTCACTCGTGCTGCTTGCTGGGCCTAGAGTGCTGCTGCTGCTGCTAGCAGAGTCAACCAGATCAAAGACCCCCGGATACCTGGTGGGAAGGTATACGCCGAGAACAAACTCGTAGAGTTCGCGGACGGCGGAGTGGGCGAGGCTGCCCTCTGACTCAGCGGTAGGTGTGACGCCGATCACGACGGAAGGGTATTTCGAAAGCAGGGACTGCCGGTAGGCGAGTCGAGATCTGTAGGTCTTGTCGATTGGGATGAGAGTGGAGATGTCGAGGTTCGAGAGGGCTGTTTTGTCAGTGGTTGGTTAGTTTGTCGCATAAAGATGAGAATGAGGTTGGTCTTGGGTTTAAGACAACAACAACAACGGGTTATCGTGATATAGTTCATCGTAACTCGAGTGGGTGCAATGCAGAGCGTCCTTAAGACACTAGCCCTTTGCAACAGGAATGGGCGATGAAAGAGGACAGGGGAAGGTTTGCACAGGGGACTCGGAGCTCCATACCCATTGTGAGATGATACTTCGCCTTGAAAGGCCGGAACTGCAGTGGCTCGGTAGTCTCCCAGTCGAAGGAGTGGAGAGGCTCAATGGGCGGGTACCCATCTTTCTCTGTTTCCGAGATGACATCGTCATTTGGGTGTGGCCGGCCCTGGACATCCTCCAGTTAGTTTCAATATGACGGTACATTATCAGAAAGACATACTCGGATGAATCGTCCAAAGAGCCAGAGGGTGAGTACAAGGAAGACGATTGAGAGGGGATTCCGCTCGACGTATAGTATGCTGGTATCCAAGGTTGACGTGAGAAGGGCCATTGTCCGGACCCCTGGGTATATACTAGGATTTCTGGTAAAATCGGCTGAGAGAGGAGAAGGAATTGAGGAGAGGTGCGAGTAGAGTGCAGTGCATCAATAGAAGTACTTCCACGTTATCATGCCCGCGGGCGTGGCAGTCCAGTGGCAGATACCTTATCCTCTCAAGAATTGCATACTATCGCGGGCTGCCATTGGTGGGAATCCCCGCTGTCTGCTGATTGCTCAACCGGCCGATAATAGTCACGATAGTAACTTCAATAAAACCTGATCAGTTAGATTAGGCCAAATTGATATACGGATAAATAAGAGTACATACAGGGTATCAATATACACAGACGAATTTCAAGCCATGTCGCGAGTCACTTTGTCCATACATGCAGACCTCCCTCCAACTGCCTGATCACAGGCATCCATCCACCTTCCCTTCGCGCGATAGCCAATCGGCAGTCGGATGGTTCATCCAAGGCAGCATAAATCCCAAAAAAAAAGAGATAAAATAAAATAGAATGATAAGATTCAAGGAAAATAGCCTCACCAGGAGGCGACCAGAGCTTCTCTTAACACCGGAGGGGTGGGGGGGGGGAGACGCCATCTGCGCTCAGTCATTCTCGTCTCCCTCATACCTCCCACCTCTGCTTCGTAACTTCTCCACGCTTGCGATGCCCCCATCTCCAAAATCATTTACCAGGGCCCCCGTCCCCAGCCCCAGGACCCTAGGCTGCCCATCCGGCCTCTCGTTCAAGCTCGGGGCTCGCGGCCGCTGCTTACCCCTCGCTCGTCCGCCGATGAGGGGGAATTCGTATTTCACCATCCGCCAAATGTACAGACATATGTCGAAGACCAGCAGTGTAGCCCAGGGGAGTATAGTGACAAAGCCGAGGAAGATCTGTAGCGTCACCAATCAACCGTTAGTCAGAACCTTGGGAGGAAAAGCGGTAAGCAAGGAGAGGGAGGGAGGCGTGAGACGGACAAAGGCATGCACAAGCCAGTTTTCGATATAGAGGAAGTCGGGCGGAAGAAGTGAGTACCATGCCATGGCGGTGGATGTCAAGGCTTGGGATTGTTGTAGGTAGGAAATGGGTTGTTGCAGAAGAAAGGGAGCGAAGCGGAGGGTAATAATATGGTGTATTGTTCGTTTCAGTCGATTGGCGGTGGTGAGGTTGCTGCTGGAAGTTCGGCGAGCATCGGTGTGGGTACGGTACGACTTGGCAAGCAGGGACAGCAGTCGCCAATACTTATCCGCTGGTTTGTATTATATATACTACCCTGTTGACTGGGGTATGGCGAAGTTGTTTGTATTCGATCACAGGGAATCCGACGGCACCCGGAGTCCGGCTCGGCACTTAGGAGTGGTGGGCGCAAGCAGCAAGGTACGTGGGCGGATGTTCAGTCTGTTGCAGGAGAACTCGGTCGGACAGTCACGGAGCTACCTTGACTGTCGATAAACAACCACATTGCAGCCCCGTGAAGCAATCGAAGCTGGTTGGTGTAAGAGAAGGGAGGGGGGGAATGATGACGGATGATGGACGAAGAGTGAGGGAGGGCCGATGAGCTGCGGGTCTGGCCTTTAATTGGTCAGCATCCTCGGTTCCTGAGGTGCCTTCCAAGTTACCTAGTAGTTCCAAGCACTAGAGTTATTTGTTATTGCCTTACTGTGTTAATCAATTCAAACACATCTCGTCCACTTTGCATGTGATCCGGAATTCCGTATTTACACACAAGTCTTCTAATCATGGAAATATGTACAGCTCTTGCTCAGATGTTTAAACAGAACAAAATAGTCGTGGGCACGTTGCATCCGCTACTCCTGCCTCCTCGCAAGAGGAATGCCAAAAATCCCATCCCAAAATCTAATGTATCAACGATTTAGTCATCGTTGTCGCTGCAAAATGATCAAAAAGAAGAAGAAAAAAAAAATCATATCTGCACACAGCTTCTAGTGTGGCATTCGGTAGTGCTCATACGAGGTGAAAGTGGGATCATCCTGCTCGACAGGACCATATCCTCTCGTCCGCCAGCGGTCCAATGGCGTGGCCATCTCCGGAACTGCGGGCTGTTGTGCTTGAGCAAGCAGCTCCGTCTCACTCTCGTTACGCTGCTGATACAGTCCGCTGCCTCCTATGGGTGCGGGAACTCGGAAGGCAGGATGGATGTGGTCGTAAGCCGTCGGATCGTAGCTGTCGTGCGATTTCAACCCGGAGAGCGAGGGTACCGATGGGGTCGGGGACGAGGCGCGCGAAGAGGTGGGCGACCACTCACCCAAAGCACTCCGGGGCGTATGCGAGCGTTCGGTAAACACATCGTCCGGGCGACCATAGATACCGCCGCCGAATTCGTCCCGGAAATCCGGTCGGTCCTTGTAATAGGAGAAATCTAGATGATTTTCGGGGACGACTTCGAAGGGCGCCGGGCCCGTAGCGTCCATCATAGATTTTCCCGGGTGCGCCGTGGACATGGCATCCATGGCAATGTCTGAGTATTCACCCTCGGCGTCGGCAGTTCCCAGACGACCGCTGTAGATACGCTTCAGCGCTTCCGCAGCCCGGGCGTGCACCATCGGGGTGATGAGAGGCTTGTAGAGGGCGGGGTGGCCGAACTTGGCGTTGAGCCGCTCAGATGCCTTCTTGTTCGGCTTGCTGACTGCCAGGGCCTCGGCATCCGTGAGATTTGCGCGGTTGTAGTAGGTGATGTCAGAATCGAACTTCCTCATGCAATAATACTTGAAGCCGAGCATCATGAACGGTAGCGGAACCACACAATAAACCATGGTCCAGGTACCCTTGGCTTTAGCCACAAAGGCAATGACGATGTTGGACAAAATAACTGCAAAAACCATGCGGTTGAACAGAACACGCCAGAATTGACCGCCAGACTCGGTCTTAGTCACAAACACATACATCAGCATGTACTTCTTCATCATTGCATCCAGCCCAAAGTAGAGCGCGGTGACGGGTAGCACAATGGGCTGTAATGTCGCAAAGCAAAGCGCGACGGTAGCGTAGAAGAGAAAGTAATTGTAATACATGGCGTACTCGAAAGATGGCGGGGCCGTCCACTCAATAGCCTGGCGAGGGGTAGGCGAGAGGAACGTCTTGGAGAACCATACCCAGAAGACAGTAACCAATTGAACCAGATCAATGGTGGCACCTAGATTCCGCTGCAACAAATAGGTCACCCAGAAGGGAGACACATTGCACAGGGCACTCACGATCTTCTCATAGAACTGTCCATCCTGAATGGCTTTCCAAGCGTTGTTGTCGGTCTTCTGCGCATCGATGACAGCGGAGACGAAGGTCCAGGCGGCAGCGAAGAGGGAATAAACGATAAGGTTGTTGAACACAAAGAATGAGTAAAGCCGGCCGAGCACATGACGCTCGCGAGAGGTCTTAGTGACGTCGCCCGCCCGGATTGCCAGCCGTCGGAAGATGACGGGCAGGACGAGGTAGACAAGGGATGTGATGGCGGGAGACAAGATACCCTGAACTGCGGCCCAAACCTTGGGATTGGCATCGAGTGATGTCTGGAATGCGGGCCACACGAGACCCAGGTTCGACAAATTGGACAGAAAGATAGCAATCAATCCGTTGGGGACGATGTACACAAACGTCAGAAGCGACACCCAGATCGCATTGAGGAATCGTTTCCACCTCCGTGCGCCCTTGGACAAAGGGAGGTTCTCCCAGATCAGATCGTCCGGGCGAGTGGCGAGGGCAATGGTTGTGCCTTGAGGGTGCTTCTTGCGTGCGTTATATGCCACAGCGTGCGCATGCTCGATCATATCCCAGCTGACGAAGCCAAACGGCATGGCATTGCGTCTATCTATAGAAGACCGAACATGTCGGATCTCTTCTTCCAAACGCTGAATGCGACTTGTCAAGTAATCTATGGCATCCACCTTGCCGCTCGGGTGCTCGTTTCTATCCTTCCGGTGCGGGGCCATGGTCGGACGATTGGGCGGGAGTCGATCGGGTCGCTTGAGGTACTTGGCCAGCACGGATTCGAGCTGTCGCACCGTTTCGTCGTGTTCCTTTATCAAACGGGGCAAATCCTTCACGTTACGGCCAATGGCGGCTCGAGGGAGGGCAGCTGTCGGGTTGACATCGTCTGTCAAACGCAGAACGCCTTCGTCCGAACGTGCTGACGGTGGAATATCGGTGATCTAATGTATAATTTAGTTAGTGGTTTTGTCAGTGAAAAATGATTCGCAAGACCGTCACACACCATTAGCGTACGCGCATGGAGACTGCGCTGATAATCGGCACTCTGGAAGTATTTTCTGCGCAAAGACAAAACACCTTTGTAGTTCCGCCACAAGAAAAAGACCACGATGATATCGAACAGCCAGGCGCAAACTACCTGACCCCAGATAGCGTCGGTGCTGACATAGAGTGGGGTCATCGTCGCAAAGGCACCAAACTGGGAGACGGTGTCGCCTTGGCTCTGCGTGAGGTTCAAAGGGATCATAACACCGCAACCGATGATGCTCAAGAAGATGAAAATGTTCCGGCACATTTTGGCAAAGCGGATAAACATGGTGGCATCGAGCCCGACACAGTCCACTAGGTCAGGCTCTTTGGTGCGCACCACAGGTTTGAGCCAGCCAAAGAAGCTCTTTCCCACCGGTGGTGGGGTATGTTTCTTGTCCGCATGCTTGACTTTGGGCGCGTAGACGAGGGAGTGACGAGGTCTGAAGAGCGAGAATAGGAGGGCAAGGAGGACGCTGAAGGCGGCGGAGGTGGCCAACGAGGCCCAGACGGCGTTGACTTGAAACTGTTGTGCTCCTTAGTTATGGATTGAAGAAAACCGGTCATCCGGAGCAAGCAGAACATACGGCGGATTTGAAAGGGTTCTGGATGAGTTTGAGAAATTGATCCGTGGAATCGTCGCGCCGCCAGAGAGCGCTAGACTGCATGGTGTTTATTGAGCCGAGGCGGCATCGACGGAGCGAAGCCAAGGCAGAGGAGAGAGAGGTAGCGGAGAGAGCAAGCGCGCAACAAGAAGGAAGAATACAAGAAAAAGTGAACGTGTTTGAACGGCAATCGACAAGAGGAGTGAGAGTGAGTGAGGCGAAGAATGTGAAACCGAACCAGGAAAATCAGAGATGGGCGTGGGAAGGCGAACAAGAGGAGAGAAAGATAATCAGCGATGATGGAGAAGTGGATTCGCGGTTGGAGGCGGGTCTCGACCACCACCACTAGTTGCCCTCTAGTCTCGCGGTTGACAAGCTGCTCTGAACGACAACGCTGCTGAGGAATGGGATTCTCAGGGATTCGATTTGCGATCCAGTAGAGGATTGGGTCTCGGCTTCCTGGGGGGATGGGGAGGGAACAAACGAGCGTCAAGAATGGACCGGACTGGACTCTCCCTTGACGTACCTCCAGTACGTATCAATAATTCCACTTCTGACAGTCGGAGGTCGAGATGCGCACTGCGTACGTTGACTGAGTGGAGCCGGCTGAGTGATTCACACTGCTACTAGTAATGTGTTAAATAGCACTAGAAGTGGTACATGTACACATGTACTATGTAGTAGATGAAAGATGATGCTTGTCTGATGAATACAGGGTACTTGTTTCTCCTGGAAATCAAATAAAAAGGAGTACTATGTAAGTTATCTATCAGATTGTTTCTTCCTCCTCGTTCTTCTTCCCGCACTGCACGCTTTGTTTACCCGCCCGACGTGGTTCAGCGTCTCAGACGGATCCAAGTGAATCCTCAGGGCGACCCAAAAAAGCAGCCAAAGAAGAATTGAAACGAGAACCAAACAACGAGAAAGAACTCCACTGGGGGTTCTGTGGTTGGATGAGGGATGAAAGAGACGGTCGGGCTATTGTCGTGGTGGAACCTACCAACGCGGGCCTAGGGCACCAATGTCTCAGACCCTCGGGTCCCCCGGTACGCAAAATTCGTTTTCCTGACCGCCGGTACCCTGAATACCATTGGCAGAGCCACGCTCAACCCTTCTTTCAGCCACTCTTTACCATACCCATACGAGGAACAGTAACCACCCGGGTGTGGCTGGTGTGCAAGCGATTGTGGCACACCGCAATAATTGTCGAGAGACAAGACTCGGGGTCCAATCGAAGTCGGGTCTTGCTGTCAATTGCCGGCAAATGGAGTCATCTGCTTCTATTCTTGGTCACGGCAGTCAAGCCACAGAGACCCTTCTACGGCTTGATCGGATGACTGCTTTGCTTATTGTTTTCACTCGGACGAGGACCATGATGAAAACACTACAGAGTATAGTCGAGTTTGGGCCAGCTCCTCTCCATCCCAACAGATCATGGCATTGACTCGTGCTATGATGTCGATAGCACGCTTCCTACAATCCCCGTACTCGATTAATCTCTCAATAACCGAGACCCCGCATCTGCTCCAATCAACACGACATCTCAATCCGCATGTATAGACTGCTTCCCGATGCATTACCTGATTTTCCTGCGCACCAGAAGAGCCTACCCCGATGCCATTGACCAAGCCATACGGAGTAGAGTTTGCGGACATTGGGGG